GTGTACGATAGAGAATCCCAAGTGCATAGAAGAACCCGCAGCCCCCCGCAACGGCTTTCCACGCAATTATATCCTCGATTTGACACATAAACGCCAGAAATTACTGTTCTTCAACAAGACCCTCACGTAAAGGTCTGTCGGACGACGGTCAGGAAGCTAGTGTGCCCACGCGCAAAGCCTTAGCGCCAACGAAAATTCTGCACGATAAAGGTAGCCCTGCCTACAGAATCGAGAAGCGTTAAGAACCACATTAAAGCTCCTGCGAGGAGAATCCATTGATATAAAACACGACGAAATTGGCCCACCCAGCCGATGCATTCTGACTGTACAGTCTCCGAACCGAGTGATTCTCTTTTGCGACATTTGGCGCACTGGCAAGACATTCGACACCTCGTAGACACATGTACGCACGAAAATGCTCCCCTTGAAACACTGTTAAAATTGAACTTACATGAGAATCTGTCAGCATATATATATATATATATATATATATATATATATATATATATATATATATATATATATATATATATATATATATATATATATATATATATATATATATATATAGTTTGATGGTTATATGTATAAATAGTAGATGCGCTTTCACATGACGACTGTTTATTTAGCCGACGTTTCGACAGAAGCCAAAATACGGGGCTCCCGTCTAAACCTTGGCTAAATAATCAATTGATATGTAAAAGCGCATCTACTTTCATACTTATATATATAGTCAACAGCTCTTGAAGCCGCACTACAGATGTAACTATGGCACGTCACACAACTGTCGCGTTTTGGGGAAGCGTTACCAGTCTTCACCTCTCGCTTACGCGCTGCTGCTTGTGTCAGTGAGACAAGATAATCACAGTGACGCTATCCTCTTCAGTCGTCGCGCGTGACTGCTGAATAGTGTGCCCGCGGCGGCCGTCTTTAAACAATGCGGCGCAGTGCGAGCTTCTCTCTATTTCTCGGTCACACAAAACACGCCTACACAATTGCGCGCACTGGAGCGCGGTTCCCTGGCTGGGAACTGGGCCTGTCGTTCACCATAGGCCCACGTGTGCCTCGTGTTTTGTGATGCCCGACGTCCCACGCAAAAATTGTTGGTAGGCTTTCAACGAACCCACCCGTTTAGCCGCGTGGCCAAGCGAAACTGAAGAGCAAAGTGGCGGTGTGTGCTTTAGTGCTCCTGACAAGTAGCCGTAGCGGAACGGCAAAAAAAAGTTCTGCGTTTCCATGCTTCATCCTATAGTCTCTTTTTCCGCATGCAGTTTACTGCGCTCAAAAGTAGGACGCGCTGTGTTCTCTAAAGCAAAAGTAAACACGAGAAAAAAAAACGCAACAGTTGTGCCAGAGGTTTGTGGACATCCGAACGAGAGACGCAGAATGTTCGCTGAGTTAGCTTTCATTGCTTAGTAAGCCTTCACAATATGTTCGATTAGTAGTGACGTAAATAAAATTAAACGTAACTATAAACGAGCTGCGCTTGGGCACGTGCTCTCGCAATGCGAGGCTACAGAGTTGGCGATTCAGAAGTGTTGTAGCACGGGTGAGTTGAAGTAGCAAATTGGGCTAGTTGGAACATACTCATCGCGAACAGCGGTGATGGTGATGAGTCGGGTGAGTTCGTCATCCATGAGCTACAGCTTCTATTAGCGCCGTACACGTAAGACGTGTATAAGCATATGTGTGTATAAGTACATATATACATATGCGTTGCCTTCTTATATGTACCACGGTAATGCAAGCTAAGAGCTAAAGACATTAATCCCGATGTTCACTCGGCAAGGTCGGAAGCCACCCTGCGCAGCTCTGGGAAGTATGCAGTAGGCCCGTCAAGCAGCCGACAGGCTTGGAATTGACGTCCCGACATGGGATACCTGAGCACGGGTCTTTATTCCGCAGGACCATTGATAATGCTTTTCCATCAATCGGCTAAGCGCTATAGAGGCAAGCGAGCGAATTAAGATGCCTCCTGCGGAGGCCCCGCTAGTTCGCATATTCACGGGCAGTTCGCGAGAGAGAGATGACATGAAGTAATGCGAAGGGCCTTGTGTTCAGTTTTCCGAATTACCCAGATTATACGTATCTGGGATTTCACAAGGCACATGACGTTAACCTAAAAACGCTTTCGTTTTGAAATTAGAGTAAAAGCCACAGCACACAGGTCACGGGATCAAATCCCGGCTGTGGCGGCTGCATTTCCGATGGAGGCGGAAATGTTGTAGGCCCGTGTACTCAGATTTGGGTGCACGTTAAAGAACCCCAGGTGGTCAAAATTTCCGGAGCCCTTCACTACGGCGTCTCTCATAATCAAACAGTGGTTTTGGGACATTAAACCCCACAAATCAATCAATCAAAGGCCACACCACAAAACAACAACCACAAAAGCTAAGACACAGTTATCTAGTTTCAATAGTAACCAAATTTACCGTGTAGGTTTTCTGCTAAGTGTTCGTTTTTGAAGGTTCGCGTTTTGATAGAATGATGATGATGATCATTTAAAGTAGAAAATTGGAAATGTATGAAATGTTTGCAGCTTTCTATTCTCATATGCATTTTTATTTCTTCTAACTGTAATTGCACAAAATAGATGTTTTTCTTAGTGCTACTTGAAGAGAGGGCGTGCCGAGCGACCCGTTTAAGTTTATGTAGAGGCGCGACAACGCGCAAAGGCAAAATAAGCTTTCGTTTCTTATCAGGCGGTCGTTCGCCGAGCTATTTTGCGCACATCCATTATTCACATCGCTTCGTAAAATATTAGTATTCATGCAATGTCACTTCCTAGCGAACGCCGCCGCATATATATTAAATACGCAAAAGAGGCAGTACTATCTGAACCGTTAATTCCACCACAGAGGTTTCCATCGGCCGACATTTGTCCTTCAGACTTCAACGCGCTTTCCACACAAGTCGCCTAAAAACGTGTCAGTATAGGTTTCAGATGCCAGGCAAGGTTTATTACGCAGAGTCAGGCGTAAACGCAAGCCGCCGCGCCTATATCAACGGCTCTATGCGAAAGGAGAGCGCCAGCGAAAGGGTTCGACAGGTTTCGTTCTACTTTGCGCGCGCGTCGCCGACGGCTAGTTCGCCGGATGCGGGTCGACCGCCGAGCCAATGTAGCAACAAAAGGTAGACTACTGGCAAGGTCGATGACGAATGGAGAAAAGCCACCGCCTTGATCCGATCGACTCAATGCGGGGCCGGGCCGGTCGCGGATAATTCCGAGAATCGTTGCGTATTCGCGTGAACACCGGAACGGGCGTCAAGACCGGAGAATATACGCTATATGCACGCGCGACGTGTATCCCTCCCGTGGTCGTGGTTACGCGGAAGCTACGCGGTGGAAAGTTCCGAGTAAGAATCTCTAATACAGCGATGGCCCCACCAGAACCCCAAGAGAACGCTTCTAGCAAGGAGTCTGAAATCTTTCGCCATCATACGCGTGGGCACACTGCAATTCGCACTTGTCCACAACGTCAATGGCGCGAGCGTCGAGATCTACAGCGCCCGGCTACTGCGAAGGTTGTGTTTTACAGAACTGCCGGTTTGAGAAGCGTATGCATGGATACGTCGAGCACGCTGCGCGCCAGTGCGTCGTCTTGGTGTAACGTTCCGCTTGTCCTTACTTCCTGTAAAGAAAGGCGACCAGAGCGGTCAAATTGTATAACAAGTCAGACTGACACCCCAAGATGCACGAGCACGTTTTTCAAAAGTGAAAGAACCGGAACGGGAGAGATTTGTGAAGCGAAGTTAACTGCATGGCGGCGCCACAGTCCACACATTGATGTGGCAATGCAGACAGAAACAAACGGAGACGAGCGGCATTGCGTGCACTCACTCTAATGCCCAGGAACAGTCATGCCTTAAGAAAAATTGCGAGGAAATGCTGTTTTTACTCTTCTTGTACAGTTAATTTTAAGAAAGCTATGAATGAAGTTTTGCTTGAGCCATAACTTAATTAGTACTAATTGCAAATAAAAATAATCACTATTGTGTAACATATAAGTTACTGTACTTTCTTCATAACATGTCAAATCTGCAATAGCTGCTTATGATGACACTTATAGAAGCTTTATGTAGCCTATTTGAGGTAATATATTCCATGCATCAAATATGATACAGCGGACATTACCACGTTAAGACCATACAACGCTGAATGTAGTGCACTTGACTCCCACCTCGTGTGATTTACACGCGTAAAAAAAAAAAAAATCAGTTCCTTTACGAGTCCGTTTCATGGTAAGCTGCTCAGAAGTCCTCTAAGGTAACGTCCGCATGCGTGCCTCAGCATGAGGACATAATAATCCGGCAATGTCACTCAACGAAAATGCCATCATTCGATAGTAAATGCCGTACATCGTGGCGCCCCAAAATATTTGCTATTGTTTGTACTGAAATGCACCCGTAATAATTTACCATTACCCGCGGACTTCGCAGTTTGGGAATCATTCGTGAATGTCCAAGCTGTGGAAAGAAATGTCAGTCATAAAAACGGTCCCAACATCCTTTCAGCACGTACGTCAATCATGTGCGTTTTACCGCCCAATCGATTCGATAATCTTCCTAGAATCAATCGTATAGAATTTTTTTGATGTTGTAGTGTAAATATGCACATGTCAAGTTTGAAACCATATGTCAGTGCACTCTTGGATCCCTATAGTTTAGACAGTACTGCGGGATTTACACATAAAAAAAACTGCCCAGTTCCGATATTTCAAAGGTTTTGGATAAATTTACGTTGAATGACGAATTATGTGCAGTGCGTGATACGTATGCCGCCTATGAAATTACCGTGCGTATAACACAACTGCCAGCACAAACGATCTAGCTCTTTAGCCCCGGCAATGCACCCCATCGATTACCTTGGCTGTGTTTCATCACGCATAACATGGTCAAGGAACCAGCATGAGCCGTGCTCTGGCGTGCTTCGTTTCTTGACTGATTTTGATGACAAGATCGCACATGCACTTGATGAAAGATTATTCAGTGGAGCTCACCTTGCAGATCCTCGGGTCCCTCAGGTAGTCCATCCTGCGCGCAAACTTTGGGCAGCCGACGATAAGAGCTCCCGTTGATCCACCGCTTCCGGTTGCGATGGCGCCGTTCCTGGAACAGTGTTCGCAGCACTGAGTCTTCCCGCTCGCAATACCCATGCTAGCGGTGGGCAGTGGTCGGTAACAATCAATCACACGGGCTGCAAACGGCAGCACACACGAAAGAAGCGCGCGCGTCCGCAAACTCTACACGCTCGTCTTTCGAGGCGAGGATCTCTTCTTGCGCTGCTGTCACTCCCACGCACACAAAAGCGAAACAACGAAAACGCGAAGAGGAAGATGGTCAACGGGAACCGTCGGTCCGACGCTTACGCCGAGGCCAGCAACGATCCCTCGCCTGTTGCCTCTTTTCTTTTGTATTAACGCATACGCACTCGCCCGTCTGAGAAGACGTGTTCTTCTCACACAGCTCTGTCCACCGTCGACCAGGAGACACAACTTCCGGAAGTATCGAAAAACGATACGCCCCCACACAAGCACTCGTTTCACCAGAGTCCAACACACTCCCTCCCAATCTGCAATCCAGTCGCGGTGTTGTTCCTATGCAAGCCACAGACTTGGAAACTTCTATCCGTCGATTGGCACAGCTGACAATGGACGGTAAAGGCTTCGGGGTCTTCCGACAAGTACAGAAACGCGGGTTTTCACCCGGTGCCCTTTCGGGAACAGTCCGACTTCCACTACGCCGTAGATGAAGGGACGTTGACGCCGCTAAGGCCAACAACAAGCCGACAGCTGTCTCTACAAGTCCGTGCGGGCTCCTGGACAGTGAACGTACTCCAGTAGGTGTGATGTAGACGTCAAAATGGGATTCCTTGAATACGGCCTGCAGTGCAGGGGACGTCGAAAACAGGAGCAGCACAGCAAGGCGCGAACGCCAAGGAGCGCGGGCTGAGAAGAAGCGGACTGAACGGATGTCGACGTCGGTGGACGCTAACGCGAGGCTGGCCCGCGCGCACTGTGTGGCGGAACGAAGGAGGAGGGCGACACGGGCAGCCTTTAAGAACGGCCGGCGGCGGCTTTACGCGCCACGTAACTACGCACCCTCACCGACACGGCTGAACCCACTCTCTGCGGCTCCGTTTCTCAAGCGTGTACAACGAAATACACCGCAAAGGCTACCGCTCCTGTTGCCGCGTGTAGGCTACGCTGTTTGCAGTGTGCGCGGTGTGTTGAACTGCTTCTCTACGAGGCTGCCCGACTAGCCGTGGAAAGAGGGCAGATTCTCTTCTTGGTACGCTTCCCTTGTCGCGCACGGTTCTGCTCCTCGTTGTCCCGTTCCATGAGAAAGAACACCCGCAGCTCGTGGGAGAAGCACGCGCGGCCACGCGTCGCCGCGCTAACGGCGCCGGACATCGGCACTCCGACACGCGGGCATGCACTGACAGAACTCGTGTCTTTTGGAGCTTCCATTTCTGGTTTCTCTAGTGCGACAGTATGCGCGGCCGTCCGGGACTATATTGATGAAACTAATAGGTTGACTAATTAACCAGTTTCATCATCCTAACAGGTCCACATCAATATATACGTATAAAATCAGATTATTGCTCTATTCTAAGAATAAATTCGTTTATGTAAATATTTGTATGCATTACATTAAGCACCACACTATCCTAGGCTATCGGTAATCTTTCTGTTAAACCTCCATCATTCCAAATCTGAACAGTAAATTTTGAAACCACTCGATTCTTGGCCGATCCCCCACAGTGGGTATGCGCCACTAACAATAGGAGAACAACAACAACAACAACAACAACAACAACAACAACAACAACAACAACAACAACAACAACAACAACAACAACAACAACAACAACTACTGTGGGAGCGCCGACACGCAGATCTGAACTCCGAAAAAGTTGCTCCAACGTAACATCAGCACGAACCACAAAGGTGGTCTACTGCACAGGCGAACGAACGAACGAACGAACGAACGAACGAACGAACGAACGAACGAACGAACGAACGAACGGTCTGTGTAGGATTGTCGCACACTCCACATCGTACCATGACGATTATTGCATTTTAGACTTATCCTGTGTTCCTGCGACTGCAAATGCAAGCGGTGCTACGTCACTGGTTGTTATGTGTTGTGCTATTTTCAGCATATGCAATGCTCGTGTGACTGCATTTTACGTGAACTATAATGTAACGTGTCTCAACTACGGGGTCGCAAAGTGAGCTTCGTGAATATGTGCTAATTATATTGTTTGACTGGTTTACGTCAACTCTCGTTCGGTGTTATTTTATGTTTTTTTTTTTTCATTCCTGCGATTTGTACGAATAATACTACACTGTGGAAAGTAGTAGCTGGCGCTATATAAAAGCGCTGACGTCTCCTAAATAGCATAGAATTAAAAAAAAAAAAGTTCATCAGTCACCTCGTCCGATCAACGAAGCTCAGCTGAATTGGGCACGTTTTCTACTTAGGCTAGAAAGACAGAATGGACGAGAGGTGGAAGAGGAAGGGGGGGGGGGGGGGGGCGTAAAGTAAGTTGCTCGATGACAAATAATATCCGAACATTTTAGATCGCAGCAGAGGTGACCAGCGAAGGTAAGGTAGGAGGGAACGACTACCATGGTTGGCAATGCTTGCCAATCACGTGACAGTTAACCACCAACAGTCAGAACGTGCGTAAAAATGCCACAAATCTAAAAAAAAAAATTATTTTTGTTTTTATTTGCTTATAAATAAAATAAATTTCAACGCCTTAGTCCCCGTACAGCCACGACCAATTGCCATAAGTTGACTCGCGGCCGCGAAGGTTGATTATATCCGAGGTAACTCGGATACACCTATAAGCAGTTTATGTAATATCACACATTACTAAATTAAGTTACATACATCTTGGTGCATATCGCAAAAGTGGAGAGAGTTGCAGCTGCTTGTGTGACCAGAAATCTTGCGGATAATGCTTAGTGGTAACGAAAACGCGGTTTTCGCGGTTTAAGACAACAGCAGGTTAATGAGCATGTGGTCTGCTCCTCCCCAAACTTCGTGCCCCGTGCGATCCTCAATTTGACGGTATGCGTTCAGCAGTGTAGGTATATACGTATATGGTAAACGTTTGTATGTATAATCAAAGGCAGCATGCAGGGCATTCGTAGCCAAGCGGAGCCAGCGCGAGCAATAATAACAGCAATAACCCTTTTTTTTTTTCGTTTTTCTGCCGATTCCTGTGTTTGTCACCGCCGCACGTATGAAGGCACGACAGAGTGATTCTAAAGCGAAAGTTGATTACAGCATCGCATTAGCTGTGCCAAACCTGAAGGTACAGCGGACAGCGTACCCTTCCTTGCTTCTCATTCTCTTTCTTTCTCACTGTTTTTTATACCAGTTTTCTGTAGATGCATGTCTATTTCTTCCTCTTTCTCGTGTGCTTCTCTCTTTCCCTCTCTTTTTTTTTGTTTCCTTTCATTTCTCGCTTTCTGTCACCTCCAGCTTGCTCTCTGTTTTTGTCTCATTTTTGTGTGCTTATATATATCTCTCTCCCTCTCTATTTGAATTGCTTCTTTTTTTATTTATTCTTTGCTCTTGCTACTTGCTTTTCTATCTCTTTTTCATGTCTGTCTCTTTATTTCTTTCTCTTTCCCTGCATTTCGTTTTATATCTTTATTTCCCTTTATTTCTCTTCGCCTTTCTTTTCCTCTTTCGTTCTTTTTTTCTTTCAATGAAGTTTTTTTCTCTCAGTTTTTTTCCATCTCTCTCTCGACGTCACTGAGAGCAGTTTTAGCCCAAAGCTCTCACCAGCTGTACTCGTAGTGGGGCTCGCCCAATTTCCATGGTGCATAACCAGCCGTGGTTCCCCGCGGACACCCGTGTTTGTTGCAGCTGCCTCAAACCTCTCTGCTGTTCACACTTCCAAGCTCAATCGCCATGTGGCCACTATGTTTTTTTTTTTTTTACTCTAGCGCACTTGTCTACGTCAAAACCAAAAACTGCTATTCAAGGATCACCGAAGCTGCATCTACGGTGATGCGCTATAGGCGCGCAACACAGCACACGAGACGCATTGTACTGTTTTGCCCTACAAATATGGCGTTTTGGCACGTAGATATACGAGTGTCCGAGGACTTACGAAATTTTAATACTTACCCAGGAACCACAGAACCATCGAAATAACCTCGTTACAACGAGCATTGATATAGGGAATTACCGGCCATGGCGAACTAAATATCAACTTTTATGGGTCACGCTTCATTCCAGTGTCATTTATCGTTTTTAAAACCAAACTGAAAACGTCGGGGTCTCCGCAACGATAAAATATTTGTTGCACACCACGTGAAGCTGTAAACTCGAAATGTAGCATAAAAAGCAGAGCAACTACGAAAGCATAATTCACAAAAACAGTTTGTTTAAAAATCTTTCGAAAAAAAAAAACGGCGAATTTCGGTCATCCAGCGAAAAACACGTGCGTTTGACCGGTTGCGCCACGATGCGAAGAGAACGGTGAGACTTTGAAGGTTCGTCTCACGACGAAAGGTGGCGCCACTTAGATAACGTCGTTTAGATTTCGTTTTAAGCATTCAAATATACGTGTTTCTATGAAATTTTTGCGCAAGTCAGATGACCGGTACTCAAAGCCGGTTTTTTTTTTTTTTTCATTTCTACAGCTAGTGGGCACATCGATGACTGCCCGTTCGGCATGTTGGTGTAAGTTCATAATAAAAACAAGTGTCAATAAGTACGAAGGCTCAGAAAGAACACAGGACGAGCGCTTAGTAGCGACTGAAGATTTTTATCTCGAAATGAACACTTCTTGGTTGTTATTGTTGTTTTCTTTTTCGGGAGCTAAACACGTGTTTTTGCGGTTGTGTGCCATCGGTTATGGGAGTGGTATTTCGTTCTTTCACGTTATTCGTGATATGTAATAAGGGTGGTTTGTGGTGACGTACATGCGTGTAATGCATATATAAGTGTTCCTATACAACTAATTTAGAGTCTTGGTGCTATCATGTTATAACTAAATTCGACTGCACGACCTTGCCAATCAGTGCATGATCCTATTTATTTATTTGTCCGTAACTGGACACAGTCCTCGCAGAAGGCAC